TATTAAGGAATAGTTATATTAAGGAATAGTTAAGTATAGTTATTCTCTGCTATTTAAAAGAAGATACAATAGCACTGGGCCTCTTCAGATCAAGCATTTATTTTAAAAAGCTTCTTCATTTTGTTAATAATAAAGCAGTCTTTAAAAAATAAGTTTAATAATTTAAACATTCTATAGGCATTTATATTTATTGACTTACCTCCTTGCAGCAAACAGCTTGATTAGCACAAGAAAAAAAAATCTGCCTCCCAGCAATTTGCCATTTGTGGAGCAAACAGCAAGTTCTCAATAGAGGTGGAGTTAGCATCCATGCATGGGTTGACACTGTCCACCTTCTGATTGGACTGAGTCTGATGAAAGATAGTTAAGACACGCCCCTTGTTGCTAACCTCACCCAGCTTTTCGACTCAGTCCACTTCAGAGGATGGATGTATCATTGCTATCTCCTGAAATTAATTGGTTTCAGTGTGGTTTTAAAGATTTATCATTGATCTCAGTTCTGGACTTTGGCTGTAGTGAGAGTTGGATTGGATCTGAGCTGTCATTTGGGGCTGAAGCAAAAGGGACCTGAGCCACAGCTCGCCCTGAGGCACCTCTGCCTGTCCAAAGCAAACTGACAGGGTGGGAGAGAGTGGAGTACTCTTTGTCTGGTCACTCAGTGTGACTCAGATCCCTGCTGGCCTCCAGCTGAGACTGTCGCGCCTCACCAATTTCTACCTACGAAACCATGTCGTCCTTCATTAAATAGAAGCTGAAAGGCAGCCGGAAACGCTGTGGCTGGGACATTTTGAAGTTGTTGTTCTGGGGGCGGCTTGTACCAAAGTGGTGGCAGCACTTTGGCTCTGTGGCCGCTGAGGCCACCCGTAAACTGTCCCTCTAGCGGCGAGAGAGGCTTGTAGCGAAGAAAGGGGTTGCAGTCGGATCGCTGTCACGCTGCTTCTAGCAACCCGTTTGCTTCTAGCGCCAGCCCTTTGATTTCTCAAGATCGGGCTTTGCCGGTGACACTAGCGGAGTGCTTAGGGAGACTCTGAGGTTGAGAGGCAAGGCAGCACGAATTGAGAGAAACAGATAAGCAACCATTCGGATGGTGCTTATCTCCCTGCCGACCTCTGTTTCAGGCTGCAGAGATTACTATAGCCCAGTGGTTCTCAACCTTCCCAATGCCACGACCCTTTAATACAGTTCCACATGTTGTGGTGACCCCCAACCATAAAATTTGTGTCTTGTTTCCTAAGACCATTGAAAATATATGTTTTCCGATGGTCTTAGGCGACCCCTGTGAAAGGGTCGTTCGACCCCCAAAGGGGTCCCGACCCACAGGTTGAGAACCACTGCTATAGCATATTGCAGCCTCTGCAAGCCACCATTTGCTGCAAGGAGATAAATTGCTGGGAGGCAGAGGCCAAAGGGTTGGGTCTGATGGGTGGGTGAGACTACATTCAGTGTATAAGACGCACCCAAATTTTCACCTTTTAGGGGGAAAGGTGCATCTTATACTCCAAAAAATACAGTATGCAACACGGTATGCAATTACAATTACCGTATTTTTCAGAGTATAAGACGCACCAAGGTTTTGAAGAGACATTTTTTTTAAAAAGGTAGGTAGGTAGATAGATGGATAGAGAGGGAGTGAAGAAAGAGAAATACAGTAGGTAGGTAGCTAGCTAGCTAGCTAGGTAGGTAGATAAAGGGATAGAGAGAGAAATAGAGATAAATAGATAGAGAAATACAGTAGGTAGGTAGGGAGAGAGAGAGGGTAGGTAGGTAGGTAGGTAGGTAGGTAGGTAGGGGGATAGAGAGAGAGAAATACAGTAGGTAGGTATTGAGAGAGTAGGTAGGTAGGCAGATGTTTCCAGGTGTATTTATCCATGTGCTG